GTCAGGAGAGCCAAGGGGCCACCAGGAGTTCTGTAAGGACATGGTAGCATTGCACCATCCTCTGGAATTCCTTTCCTGGCAGCATGTACCTTCCTTTAACAGAGCTAAGGCTTCACAGCGTTTTTCAGGCCGGAAATGCATTCCCGGCTGTAGGAACGGTTTCGCGGGGCAGACAGACGTCTTGTGCCGGACTCCGCCAGGAAAGCCCCGGCTAGCTGTTTTTCTTTGGGGGGTGTCAAGGGGACAGTTTTTATTAGTTCGAAAGTTTCGGTGTGTGCCAAAAATGGATTAAGGGGTTTTCGGCCAAAAAAAGGTGGGCCCCATTTAAAGTAGCATTGGCTGACAATGGGATAGGAAGAGAGGGCTTCTCCACCGGGGGTCAACGCTTAACGACAAACAGCCGTCGGATGCTTGGAGAAGTGAATCTATGGTCAGGGACGAGGCATCGACGAGAAGTTTGGCGTCGGCCCGTTGCCTCAGTGGAGTGCATAAGCGGGCAGGGACGCGAGCGGGCAGGGGCGTGGGGTGGTGAGCTTGGCGCGGCATGCGTGCGCCTGGCGCGATTGCTAGCGTGCCTTTGGCGTGTTTGCTGCCCGCGTTCCTGCATGCCTGCGCACCCTGGAGTGGGTGGGTGGGTGGGCGGGTGGGTGGGTGGGTGGAAAAAGAAGAAGTTTCCTGCTGCTCAGGGGTCGACGGCGCGATTTGATGCGGGATTCCTTCCCATCAAATGCCCGATGCAGGCAACAGTGGCCAAAGGCAATAATTACAAGCAGGAGGCGGATGGGACAGGCAGGCAATGCGCAAAATCAGAGTTCAGGATTCAAGGACACATGAGTGGCGTGCTAAACGGCACGGAAGCTGCATTTAGTGCGAGAAGTGACATCACTTTCCAAATGCTCACAAACATATATGCGCGCAGAACCTACCCCCGAACTCTACGCTGCCGGGATGATACTTGGCTGTGTGTTGTTTGAAACGGGTTAGCTGGTTTAGCTCGCTCGGAAGCTTCAACTGAAAGCCCCAAGCAACCAGGATCCCTAAATTCCCTTAAGCATTTGGACAGGGTTTGCCCTTAGAATTCCGCGTGTGGCTCCATTTCCCGCTTTTTTAGAATGACGGGGCACCACCGGCCCTCCTGTCTGACCCTTCCGTCCGAAGGCTCGCCGGAGCTCCGCTTCGCCCCGGCAGGGGACAAAGGCGCCGTGCCGTCGGGGGAGGCCTTGTGTCAGCTGCCCTCCAGGTGGTTTGGAGTGCTGGTTTGGACGTGAGGGTAGATGGGAAACCCGGACCTAACCACCAAACTACGAACCACCAATTGGAGGAATGCTGTTTGTTTGTTTGTTTGTTTGTTTGATTTGATTTGATTTGTTTTGTTTTGGTTTGTTTTTTGCGTGCAGCGGCGCGTTAGGCTGACATGGAAGATTCCAGGGACACTTGCAATGTTCTTCTTGGCGCCTCTTGGATAAGCCAACTGTTGCCTCCCAAGCCCCAAAAGAAACAAACACAAACACAAATCAACAAATGAAATAAGCAAATATCGAAGTGGGTGCTGACGGCGCGAAGTCTACTAGGTGTTGCCTTCTTGTGTTCACTGCTCACATCAAAGATAATGATGCCGGAGCTTCGTTGCGGAAGAGCGCAAAAGGATGGGCAAAGGATTCGCGTTGCACGTGTTGGATACAATGATCTTCGCGAATAGGTGATGTCACAAGGGTTTGGTGTGGGAGCTGCCTGCCAGGCAAGTTTGTTGCATCAAAGCTTCAAGCGGAAGTGCTTGTTGGAGTGTAGAAGGCAACGTCCATCTCCAACTTTACATAAGGAATGAAGGGAAGCACTTGCAGTGAGAAGTTCTCTTTGTAGCCGTGCTCCAGGTGACAAAGTCATCGAGGGCGTGAGGAAGGCCAGGAAATGCCCATCCGGATGAGAGCTGTAGCGTCAGCAGCCTGGAATGAGGCTCTTTGGGGACCTTTAAGTTTAAGCCTTGAATGTACCATCGGGACATCTTAAACTTTGGGATCTCTTTAAAGAAGCCTTGGGATCTCTTGCAATGGACTCTGAGCCATCCTGAAAGCAGCAACGTCCGCCAAATAGATTCGTGAAGAATCTAAAAAGAAGGTGTTCTCGCCCACCCTGTTTTCGCGCGCCCAGCAGAATCCTCCTTGCCACACGGGCTGGTTTCAGCGATTTCAGCTGCCGAAATGGGTGTTCTCGGCCAGGCTGTGGGTTTGCTCTCCGGTTCTTGTATAGGTGGACCAGGCTAAGCAGCATGCAGCCCAAGAAATAACTGGCGACATGACATGTACGATGACTCAGGATGCAGGTTGAAATCACTGTTCTAAGGGTTGATTCCCCATTCTTTCCAACCATCGTTCTTTTCGAAAACCGGATCCGTTTCCCTGGGTTTCCGGAGGTTTTCTACAAAGATTCGGCATGAGGACTGAAGGCCCGAATCCACGGGTTTCTGCTCCAAGCAGGCAGTGCTTGGCATGCGTGTGGGCGGCACCCGCAGGGTCATCGCCAGCATCTTAGCCAAGGGTTCACTTGTTGAGTGCTGGTAAATCAATTTGAGACGGAAATATAATGAGCTCTGAAAATCGGACCTATGTCTTTGATGCTAGATGCTACTGATTTTCCTTGTTGTATTGGGGTCCCACTTCGGCTTATGGATTAGGAATAGGGCAGGGATTGCCTAGTTGTCTTGAATCGTGGCCATGCTGCTGATCCCCGTTCAGATTTCGGCACGTTCCTAGTTTTCGGTGCGCATGCATATGCAAGATAATCCTTGTCAAGTGCAGCTCTCCCGCGTGCAAGCTGCATCCGATGTGATACTCCATCGCAAGAATGCACCGGCGCGACTGAGCAGTCTTATTGCGCTGATTGTTCAAAGTAATTCGAACTCATTAGTGCTTGTCAGTAACTCTACGTGACAGGCAAGAGTGAGCAAGCTTCTTGCATGTTACCAAGTAATTTGAGCTTATGAATGTGTAGTTTTAGGCGGACAAGGCTGCCTGACAGGCACGAGCGTAGAAGCAAGCTTGCGTTTTGCAAAGTACGCGTGCGTGTGTTTAATGTTTGTGTGTGTGTGTGTGTGTTTAATTTAAGTGAAGAGTGCCGGCAGTGCTACCTGATTCCAGCCCACGAGTGTGCTTGACTTGAAGACACAGCAGGCAAGGACATGCAACGCAACAATGCACATGGGCAGAAGCAGAGAGAGAGAGGAGAGAGAGGAGAGAGAGGAGAGAGAGAGAGAGAGAGAGAGAAAAAAAAAAACAGGCAAGAAGGCGTGCAAGATTCGGCAAGATTGACAAAGACCAGCAACAGCAAATCGGTGAAAACTGAACCACCAGGGGGTAATCCGCTTCGTGTTATCCATTTAACGCAAGGCATTTTGGGGGTACCGAAGTATTTCGGACTTCAGCCGAGGTACCTCCAGGGCTGGGCGCGGTGCCTCAAGGGGCGCTGGCCTGTGAGCAATGAGGGCCCTGGTTTACGTTACCTGGTGGTTCAATCGTCTACCAGGGCGATCTGTTTTTCAAAAGGGACAGCTATCGTTGTGAGCTAAGTAGCAGGCCGCGATTCTCGAGGTTGTAAAAAGTGGAAACTCAGTTGGTCATTTGGGAGGATCACCTGCAATGTCTTGCGACAGCAAGCTCTCTTGTGAGAACAAAGGCAGACGTTGCTACCCACGGTTGGCCTGTGTGTGACAGATTTCACCTCACTTCCACTGCTTTGCGTTTGCCCCTTGGTAAGGAACCACGGCGCACCCTCGTTACCCATTCTCGACTCGCGCTGCTGATGGTAGTTCCCATTGCAAATTCTTTGGCTCTTGGCCTTTGTCTGTGTGTGTGAGGCACGTGAAGCATTAGTCAAGACGAGCATTGTGAGTCAGATGCACAGCAAGCAAAGCACCGCTTCATGTGTTTCCATCGGTCGGCAACTTTTTTTTTGGCCCAGGTGGCTTGGAACAAAACACAACAACGGGTTTTCAGATTAAATGACAGGGCAAAGAACCCATCCAAACCAGCAACGAAACCACGCGATCAAAAGGACACCTATGGCTGCACCATGTGACACCAGGGCAAGCAACTTCCATTTGCTTTTAAGAATGTGTGTCATTTTCTTTTGTTGGTTTCAAAAGTTGAATCTCTCACTACTAGACATCTAAAAAAAAAAAAGAACGGTGGACGAAAAAACAATCCACTGGGAGGCCCTTCGTTCCGAGCGCTCCCTCCTCGGCCGAGGCTTCGTCTCGGAAGAGCTGAGCCCGAAGCCGGTGGACTGGGGCCGTCAGCGCCAGGAGATTTTATCGGGGGTCGCCGTTTTGGGGAGGCGAGGGGTCAGACGTCCGAGCCCCGAGCTGCCCAACTTTTTGGGGGGTTTGGACCAGTTTAATGGTGGTAAAAATAGGAAGTGTTCACGCTTTTTCTTTGGCCAATCCACTGCGGAAGTGAGAAGAGGGAGTCGGGGGGGGGGGGTACGGGGAAGGTAGGAGGGGGGGCAGGAGGGGGGTACGAGGGGGTAAGAGGGGGTAAGAGGGGGAAAAGTTGGAAGATAGAACTTCATTTGCTTCGTTCACCACTTATGGGTATTTGTTGGCATGTCCTCGCACCCTTGTTTGCACAGCATGTTTGCATTGCCTGCATCAGGAGCCAGAAGTTCCGAATTGGGACATGCTTTATTGGATCTAGCTCCCTTCCCGGTTTCCCTGAAATAGCAATTTAACAAGGCCTTCTTGTCCTCCATGCCGCCTCATTTGGAGGAAACCGGTGGGAAGGGTTAGCAGAGGCGTTTAGAGTTTGGATCCTGTGAACATTGGGTGACACCGAAGAAAACTCTTCCGTAGAGCTGTCACATGGCATGCTGGGCCGCTGCAAGGGCGCCTGTTTTCCCCCGTGAGCCCTCGATGTTTGTCGAAGGCTAAGTTGTGAAGGAGATAACGCCTCGCCTTCCGAAGCGATGTATGGCAACCGCACAGTCACGCCCTTTTTCGCATTGCCTGCAGCCGTTTGAGGTTTCGTCGCAAAAGATCCGCGCGACTGTCCATGGAGCGTGTGGTGGTTATCGAGCGGAAGACCTTCTTGGATGTCGAGGTGTTGCCCGGTCCAAGAGTCCCGCATCCTTTTGGGAGATGGGGGTAGTCCACCCTCATTAAAATGAGGGGAACCTTCCTCCAAATCAGCCGAAAAGGAGCTGGCCTTTTCACCGGTTTTGTTGGGTTTGCCTTCTGCAAACGACAAGCACTTGGGGTTTGCATTCATCAACCACTGAGCATTGCGAGACTTCACCAACCATGTTGTCCTTTTGCCCTTGTGAGTTTCCTTCGATTTCCCTGGGAACCAGCAAAGCTTTTGCAGGGGGTCGGAACCGTTTGGCGGTTTCACGTGTTTGCCCTACTTTTTGCAATGTGTTCCTTGTTTCCTTGGTTTGTTTTGGTTGCGAGTGGGTCCTCTCGCAAACAAAAAGGAAAGACACCTCGAATCTCTTCCCCAGAATTATGTATAATATTCTTCTTGGGTCTCACCAGGCAACAACCAGGTTTGTAAGGCCCTCGGAACAGTTGGGACGATAGCGCACTCTGTACCTACGGACCTACTTGGGTGTTCGGCCAAATCAGGGTCAAACCCACTCGGGGTAAGACTTGGGGTAAGACTTGGGGTAAAACCATGGGGGTAAAACCACGGGGTAAAAAAAACCCATGGTGAGCTTGGGGTAAAAAACCCACCGGCGGTAGCCAAGGCGCAGCTCTGCGACCTCCCGCACCCGCAGCTGGGGGCCTGGGGACCGGATCCCGCGCCTGGCCCCGGTGCTTTTCGACCTGGGCTCGCGGCTCAAAGGGAGCGGCCGGTCGGAGAGATGTCCGGAGAAATCTACCGGTCCCGTCTTGGGGGATCGTTTTTTCGGGAAGCACACAAAAATGCCCTGGAAGCCAAAGTTCAAAGGGCCAAAAGCCATGAAGAATGGTCTTAAGTTGGTTATCCTTCTTGAGGCCCCAAGCTCTTATCCGGCCAGGGTCCACCCGCTTTTTCATGGTGATCCAGTTAAATGACCATTCGCTGGATTGTTTTGGTTTGGCTTGGTGTTTCCTCTCTCTTGTTTTTGCTTTTCAGCGAGGCACCCACTTTTTTTGCTTTGTTTTTGCTGTGGACGTACGGCGTAATCATTGGTAAAGGATGGCGGGGGTTCCACCCGGTGTTCCTCTCTTTGCGGGGCGGGGCCGCGAGGTGGCCCTAAGTCGGGTAGATTCCAGAGCTGTTGGGGGATACTTGGGGGTGGGGGGTCAATTTTTGCATAAGCCAACAGGACCCGGTTTCCCAGCGGTGCCCTTTTGTCCTTTTTTCGGGAAGGGGTTTACCTTTAAAGTCAACCAAAAAAGGATGCCCTTTTTCCCCATGCCCACTGAACATTTGGGAAGAACTGTTCGGTCGTTTGGTTGCTTCCCAACGCAAGGTACCACCACGTGCGAGGATGTGTCTGACCCGGCCACAGTGACCCGTGAAAGCTCTACTGAGCCCCTCGACTTGTGGCGAATGGGTTAGCGTCATGGGGATTTTCCGCAGCCAGGGTTCGCCTTCATAAGCCTTTCAGAGCCCTACTTAAAGGGGCGATCGGGTACTTATTAAGTGGTTAGTAACCATGGAGGATAAAACAAAAAACCAAGAAACACTGCACAGAGACTTATAACCATGGCTTCTGTGGGTTATGACCATGGCTCCCCACTTACGTCCCCGATTTCGCCCCTTAAGTACCAAGCCCCAACCTGAGAAAAAAGCTGGGCCTTGGTTCCCAGGCCCGGCAGCTGTGCCGTGGCCCTTTGGGATGCAAAGTCAGGAGGAAAACTGGGTCCGAAGTGGTTGCACTTTGAGGGTTCTCAACTAGGTCCCCCAGCAATTGGTGCCCTTTTACCAACTTTTTTTTTGGGGGAGGGTCAAGTCTGCTGCAGATTGGCCAACCACCCCAGGGTGTTGCTTTATGTCCAACTGGCTTCCTAGAATTGAAAGCGGAACGGGGGTCGTTCTCCTTCAATCTATATATATACATATATATTTATATCTATATATACATATATATGTGTCTGACGCACCAGTGTCAGGCCGAGTCCGACACAAACTTCGACCGACCCTTGCGTATCTTCGCTGTTCTTGGCAAGTTTTAGTTGTTTCTGATTTGTTTTTGTTTGTTCTGCTCATTCTTTCTTGTGCAGGCGCTGCACCAAAAAAAACACCCAAAAAAAACGGGCTCCGTCTTTTGCACGCCCGCCCCGTGGTGGAGGTCTTCTTCTCCTCCCAGCGGGGCTGCGCGCTTGGGGCCGCCTGCGGCTTTCGCCACGGCGCGGGCGAGATCACGGGGCCGCGGCCTCGCAAGGTCACGAGGGACAAGCTCAAGGCGAATGGGATCGAAGAATCGAAGCCGAAGCCGCGATCGCATATTTCGACCCAGGATTTGAATAAACCCACAAGGAATTGGACGCCCCCCCGGGTCAAAATCAAGCGGTAAAACTAAATCCGCTGGGTCAAACGCTCACCATGAACTCGAAACCGCAGGGTGATTCCGGCGGTGAAAGCCTCTTCAGGTTCTAGCGGTCCGGAGTCATGCGTGTGATTCTGGTTTATTCCCAGCTGATGTACTCAAGATGCGTGAAGCACACTAGAAACCAATCGAAGTCAGGCTTCAGTCGTTCCACGCCGTGGGTGTGGCATTTGTTGTTACCTTAAGACGTCAATGTTGTTGCTTTTCTTTTCTGTTTTATGTTGACTCCCTATTAATTAACGCTAGTTTGTTAGTAGGGGGGTGTTCCCCTCCAAAAGTGAACAATCCCCACTGAAACCAGGGAAAAACACCCCCATATGAATAAGCAAGGGTTTATGAATAGGGGGTGTTCATTAGGTGCCCAAATCTTGGCCAACACGAGCTTCCCTATCAAGGTGGCAAACTTGAAGATGTGAGTTTCCTTTGGCTTGTGGTTTAGACGGGGTATCTGTTTGAGGGTGAGCTCCCTTTGGCTTCCCTTAACAGCCCCAAACAAACAGCACATCTTTGCGAATGGGTGGCTCTCTTTTTCTTGAGTTGCTACTCTTGGTTGGTTTCAAAGGGAAACGAACATGGAAAAAACCTATAGGTTTGGTGAATTTCCACGAAGAACGACACCCGAAAAGCTGAAAATGGCGTGGAAAGCGCCTGAGCTCAGGCAGTCATTGCCCGAGTCTGTAAAAACCTCGAAGACCCGACCACGCACGCAAAGTTGCAGAAGCTGGCCGGTGGATGCCACTACTTGCGCCTCGGCCGCTTTTTTTTCTTCTTTCCGCTTTTGGGAAGCCTTTCGGGCTTCCTTTCTTTGCCTTACCCATGGTCTACCACGTGGCAGTGAGCTCAATTCCGACCGAGCCATTTGCCTGTCCGCACGTCGGTCGCCTGGCTTCCCGAAGTTTCAGGCGCAAGAATCCACCAAACCCGCGTGCTGAGAGGAAGTCCCTGAGTGATGTTTGAAGAGGACGTGTGTGTATGTTGCAGTATGTGTATACATGTGTATATATATATATATATACATGTATGTTCCAGGCCGTGGACCCCCCACCCCTCCCCCCCTTCACCCCCCCCCCCCCTGTGGGGGTTGGGGGGGGGGGGGGTTTTGGGTGGGTGGGTGGTTGGGGTGTGGCTTGGGTTTGTTTAGGGTTGGTTTAGGGTGGGCATAGGGTTGTTGGTTTAGGGTGGGTTTAGGATGGGTTTTCTGTTGGCTTAGGGTTGGTTTAGGGCTGATTTAGGTTTGGTTTAGGGTTGGTTTAGGGTGAGTATGGGGTCAGTTTAGGGTTGGTTAAGGGTTGGTTTACAGTGGGTTTAGGGTGGGTGTTGGGTTGGTTTTGGGTTGGTTTTGGGTTTGCTTAGGGTTGGTTTAGGGTTAGGGTTAAGGCTTAGGGGGGTTGGCTGGGTTGTGGGTTGAGTTGTCCTACGTGTTGGGATGCAAGGGTGGGAGTTCAGGGGCTGAGGAGGGGGTGTGGGGACCGCAGCAGCGGGGTGTGGGGATCCGGGGGCTCAGGGCAGGGGGGGGGGGGGGGAGGGGACCCTACCCTTCGGGGGGGGGGGGGGGTTGGTGGCCTGGAGGCTGGGGTTCAATCCACCATTGAAAAAAAAACAATGGGGCTTCATATAACTACCATTATTTATTTAAGGATTGTCATCCTCCGAATTGGTCCCAAGGCCATTCTTCTAATGTGGGCTGAAACCCTGGGGTGTATAAATATATATGTACATATATATATATATATACTTGGTGGCTCCCAGCCATCCGGTTCCTTGCCCTTTTAGCTTTTTAGTGTTTAGTGGTAGTTGCCGTTTACCCCACTAAGAGTTAAGCTTGTAGCGGGGCACCCGAGGGCAGCCCAGCATATATATATATAGATATATATACATATGTCTGTCGTTCTTTGGAGGCGCTCCTTGATCATTCAAAAGCTCAATGATGATGCGTCGAGCTGCGCGCGACGCCATGGATGAGACGCGACGGTGCCGGGAGGTCGGCTTCCATTTGCGTATATTTTCCAGTGGTTGAAAAGGACCATATCACACTGGAAATACTTTTTGTCAGGGGGCTTGAGTCACCTTATCCCTATTTGGTGGTTCGGTGGTTTGGTGCCCCAAACCAAAAATCCAGACCAGCAGTTAAGGGGTAGTCGGTTAAGCAAATGGAAGGCCTGGGTTTCTCCTAGGCTGGGCGCCGGGAGGGGCAACCGGAACATTTTCCAGGGAAACGAAAACAGGGGACCCTGTTCTGGACACCCGATGTACCCTCCCACCAAAAAACATGGAACTTGACAGGAGGGGCCTGATTTGGGCCATGTTCCTTTTCACGGGAACCCCTGTCAGGTTCCATGTTACTTTGTGGGAGGGTATCTCTTGGTTTTGGGCAGTTCCGAGTCTCCATTTGTTCACTTAGCTCTGGAAGGGGCCAATGTGCACATTGGCCTCCCATAGCTCAAGGGAATATGCGCCACGCCTTTTGGGGGGGGCCCTGTGCCTCAGTCCGTCTATGACAGAGATGCAGCTGTCCATAAGGTATTTTTGACGCCCGGCCAGGTTCGCAGCCTTGATAAACATTGCAGCTCAAGGAGCTTGGTGGTCGGTTCAGCATAGTCGACCAATCCCCTCTCACTCAGAGGTACTCATGTCCAATGTCAGTGAGTTAGGGTAGGTGTGTTTCTGGCCAGTGAACTCGGCATGGTTAGAGCCAAGCTGTCTGGGATCGTTGCTTCGGGACCTTTGAGCATGGCTCACTGCCTGAGCATGCACGCTGCGGGCCGAAATGACCATGTCCGCCCAAGCGTTGCCCCAAGCTTCTGCAAGTGAAGAGGCTCGCCAGCTGAAAAGCGGTGCACGCGCCTTGTGTCCCCAAATGGTGTGAAGAGAGCCATTTTGGTACTGGAATGAACGCCCCCAGTTCGTGATATCATATTGGTTTCCAAGGCCCCTGCGGTGTACTGGAGGGCCCCTGGCTGGTTTGCTGACATGGGCTTTGCCATGTATCCACTAGTTGCTTGCTTAAGCACTGTTGATCACATGTTTCTCTGTGCGCCAATCGGGGTATGGAGACACACAACGGCCCCCCGCAACGGTCAAGCATCAAGTGGCAGGTCCAGCGCTTCAAGAACAAGAATTGGGTCATCGAGCTGCGGTTGAAGGCAGAAGCCAACTGGGATGGATGCGCAGCCACGAAAAGACACCAGAAGCCAAGATGTTGAATGGCCTGCGTGGGGCGGCGAGCACAGCGGGATTTACAATACCGAGGACAATATCATATTCATGAATACGATCTACAAATGAATATATAAATATATCTAAACAATCCCCCCCCCCCCCAAAAAAAAAGGAAGAGAGAGAGAGAGAGAGAGATCAAACACGTGTTGTTTTTGTTTTGGGGGGAGGGTAGCGCTGGACCTTCCGACATGTAAAATTAACGCCGTTTCCCAAAACAGCAATAATTTTCGCCGGTTGCTGAAAAAACGCTCTTGCGGAGAAAAAACGCTCGCCGTGAGTCCAGCTCGGAACCTGGCAAAAAAACAACAACGCCGTTTCGCCGGCAAATTACGCCGTTTTGACAGGAAATTGCGCCGTTTTGCAATTTTGATTGATGCTAGAGTGTGCAAACACTGAAAACTGCCGGTAGGCGAAAATAATCGCCGTTGGGTCAAAAGACATGGTTTTTGACAAAACAGCAATAATTTTATGCACATGTTGGAAGACCCAGGCCGGTTCACACGGAGCAAGTCTGAGGCCATGTCCATGTGTCAAGACGAGTGACGATCCGGAGGTCGCTGCCAATTTCGTGATTCGGGATTTAATCACATTTCGGGATTAAATCACATTTTCGAGATTCGGGATGCGGGATGCGGGATGCGGGATTCGGGCCTCGAATCACATTTTCGGGATTCGGGATTCGGGATTCGGGACTCGGGATTCGGGCCTCGAATCACATTTTCGGGATTCGGGATTTGGGATTCGGGATTCGGGACTCGAATCACATTTTCGGGATTCGGGATTCAGGATTCGGGACTGGGAAGGCCCCATCCTCAGATCCGAGATTCGGGATTCGGGATTCGGGATTCGCGCGCGAATCACATTCTCGACCAGGTTCTCCGCATCACGTCTCCTCAAGACACACGCCAAGCAAAAAATGTGTTTCTTTCAATCCATGCTGTTCCGCTCTTGACGGTAGAATGCGTAAACTAGGCATGGACGTTTTTTTTTTTGTGCGGTGGTATGTAGCAAGTGGTGAGGTTTTGGCCAGCAGCCAACAATAGAGATTTTTTTTACCCCCACGCCCTTCTGAGACGGTTTTGGTTTGTTTGTTTTTTTGTCGGGAGGGCCCAGGGCCGGCCGATTCATCTCCGAAGTCCGCATGTCCAGGTCCACGGGGCGTCAATTGTTGAATCACGTCCCATGATTTTCCTTGGGTTTTCTAAAGGGAACCTCCAACAGTGGATCGATCGTTGGAGCCAGTCCATTGATCAGCTGTTGATTTAGAAAAATCCAGTTCCCCCTGTGGTTTCCACCTGTCTTTCAGGCTCGCTCCGTGTTTGGCATGCAGCAGGTTGGGTAAAGGAACATCCCTATGGCCAGGTGGGGGAAGTTTGGGCCAGTTCTTCAGACAACGCTGGCATCGGATGCAGGCGCTGCGGCAATGAGCTCCGCTCGATGTGAGGAAGAAAGGTCGGCATGTGGTGATCCCGGGATTGGGGGAGGGTAACCCCTGGAATTCCATTATGTCCTTTTGGTGATATAGATGGCTTATGGAATGAAAGGCATCTAAACCGCAATCAGTTCTAACCAACTCAACCTGAAAAATGGAAATGGGGGGACCCCCACCCCTTCCCCCTTACGGTCGGGATATTTGGTGCCAGCTTTGCTACTCAGAATAAACAGGGCTGTTTCGAAGCTGGACGGAGCATAACGCCACTCTGCATAGTTCATGCAGCCGCATGACATAGCTTGCTTTGGCGGCATGGTTCTAAGAGCGTTTCCACTACCCCCAAACCACTGCCCCGAAGGAGAAAAGGGCGTATATATATATATATATATATATATATGCAACCACTATACAGCCACTAAACAAAGGGCAAATGTCTCACTTTCCCTTAAAAGTGGTTTGGGGGTAGTGGAAATCGTGAAATGGTGGCACACGGCGCAGCCATTTGCTTAATAGAGAACAAGGTGTGACTGGCACAGCCAAGCGTATCACTTTGTTTAGGCATTACACCGGCAGCAGCATATCTATTCGCATGCAGTGCTGACAAACGCTGCACATGATTCCTCAATCAGCTGATGAAGCAGTATCACGTTGTATGGCCAGAGGGAAGCAGTGCGCCAGCCTTGCAGAAGTTGCCTTGTTGCTGCCTTTGCGGCTGCCAGAGCCTAATGGAAGGCGGGCAGGATTTCGAGCATGCCTGCAACTAGTTGCGCAGCAGGTTCCCAGTAAAACACATTACAAACATTTCCCAAAAGAAACAAGTCCTAAGAGCTTCCATATAAAAGAGACCTTTAAGAACAGGGACTTCCTGTTACTTCCAGGGAGTGTAGGGTTTACCTCGCTTTGGGCATTCGCCGCCAAGTGTTCTAAAGATGTCTCCCCATCCCAAAAATCTGCGAATACCTGCTTGGGATCGTACTGTAGCTAAGCTGGAGTCCTTTCTTGCTTTAGCAAGTGTAGGGGCAGCAACTTCCCGACCGCTTTGATATATCAATTCTTTGGGGGGGGGCCCACGGGGGCCCTTTGGCATGAACAGATTGATGAATGATTGAAAACTCCCCCTCCCGCCCTGGGAGGGTTCTATTCCCCCCTCCTGGTCCGCGTTTGGACCGGCTTTTTTCACAGTCAAAGTGTTTGGGGACAGGGGTTTGCCGGATGCGGGAATGTATTCAAAATGAATCCCAAGGAGAGATGGTTGTTCAAAATGAGTTCTGAGGTGAGATGGGATAGCTATCCTGGAGTTTGTTTTTGCTTTAGCATTTTGGTTTGCCCGTGTCGTGTGGCCTACTGACGCTTCCTGCCTTGCAAGGCCAAGATGGCCGATTGGATTCCTGGTTGGCTCTTCTTTGCTTTCAGTCTGTATAGAAAGGCGAAAGGGCACAAGTGCTCGAAAATCGGACAGGCGGGGAACTCATGGCGTAGAAAGGCTGAAGAGCCCAACTGCTCCGAAAACTGGACACGTGGGGAATCGCTGGCATACTAAGTGCTCGAAACCGGACAGGTGAGGAACCAGTGGCAAAGAGCACGAGTGCTTGAGAACCGGACAGGTGGGGAACCCATGGCAGAGATCGGCTAAAGAGCGCAACAATGCCGTAAGCCTGTCCCTTTAAGAAGTTAAACTCAAGGTGAACAAATTGCACATCTTGTGTTTGCACAGAGGTTGGGTCGGTCAGCTGTCCCTCAAGGCGTGGTAAAGCTTAAATCCTGAAAGTCTCCCCAAGATTAATTTTGGTTTTGGGTTCTATTGAAGGATAGGTTAAGTCTGGATTTTAATATGATGTTTTCTGCGTGCCCCGGATTCGCGCCAAGTCACGTCTTTGCTCCTTGCGGATCATTGTTTCCTGGCTGCATTTGATGGATGTCAAACCAGTTGCCAAGCAATATAAGGGCTCAGGTGCTACCTTTCGTTCTCAAGTTCTTGGATGCACGACAGCTACGGAGTATGCAAAAAGTCTTACCAGATGCATCCAAGCACCGTCCTTCCACCAAGCTCCATACCATGGCAAGCCATCACCTGACTTACCCAAGACATAAGTTTAAAAGTTGTCAATCCTCAGAATGGTGCTGAAAGAGCGGATAAAAACGTGACAACTGGGTCAAAATACTGGAAGCGCGCCATTGTGGCACTGCCAGGTTGAGGTTTGCCCGCCCTGTACGGCGTGTAGGGACTTCATAGGGTACTGCCCGCCTCAAAAGTAGCGCATCGAGGAATCGTGGGGACTTTGGCTAGCATTGGATGAAAGGATGAATGAGAAACATCAC